CCCTTTACCCCTCCCTACCCCGACACAACCTCTTACTCACCCTCTCATCTCGACCTCGACCCTCTCCGGCCACTTGGCTTTTAATCTAAATTTCCTCGACGGCCGAAGAATATCGTGACACTTTTGACCCAGACTTTCTCTTGCTCCACCCCGTGGAGGGAGATCGGCGCGTCTCGTGTCTTCATGGGCGCACTAAAAAAAAAAAATCGCGGGCGTGCATATTAGTTCATACGATAAGACGATTGACATGACTGCTCATCTGCAGTGACCCGGAGGCTTCTGGGCCTCTCACAGGGGTCCGGCCACCACCCGGGCCACTGGCGAGTGCTTTTCTAACCGTGATCGTCTTGTTGCAGGACCAGCAGGCGCTGCGCGAGCGTGACGCCGCCCCGAGAGACAACCTGCCCGAGGACTTGTCCGTCAAGAGGCCGCGCGACGGCCCGCCCGGGCCCGCCACCCTGGGCGTCGCCGCACCCTACCCCGGGCGCAACCCCTCACCCGCCGGCCTGCAGCACTCGCTGCACGTGGCAACGCACCCTGGGGCGCCGCACGTCGGGCTGGGCGCGCTCGGCAAGGCTGGCCCCGGCGGCCCCGTGTACCGGACGGGCCCCGGCGGCGAGGGCACCTACTACCACGGCGTGGGGGCGCAGCCCCACGGCCAGCCCGCTACGCCCCACCTGGTGATGGGGCCTCGGACAGTGACGCCCGGCGCCCCGCACGCGCCGCACGCACTCAACCCGCACGCCATCAAGCAGCCCCTGAAGGTGGTGCCGCCCACCTTACCGCTGCCGCAGCAGACCAAGCTGTCGCCCAAGCTGGTGACGCCCAGCACGCACGGCGCGCACCACGGCTCCCTGAGCGGGCACGGGCCGCACGGCGGGCACCAGGGCGGGCCCCTGGGCGGGCACGGGCCGCACAAGGCGGGCTCCATCACGCACGGCACGCCCGTGTCGTCGCCACAGCGCTACAACGAGAACCTGCTGCGGCCGCCGCACGTGACGCACCAGCACCAGTCCCTGGGCAAGGAGGGCTCCACCGGAGGCGGCTCCATCACCCAGGGCACGCCCGTGCACCTGCCCGCGCGCCTGCCCACGGCCGCCACCCCGATGTACGACTACTACAAGCGGCCGCCGTCCGGCGGCGTCACCTACCCGCACCCGCCAGTCCACCCCTCCGTGCCGAGCCCCGTGACCACCTCGGCGCCCTCGACAGGAGGCTTCACGTCGCCCTACCCCCACCAGGGCGCTCGGCCCGTCACCTCGTACACCTCCGAGCAGCTCCACTCGAGGCAGATCATCATGGCGGACTACTATACCTCCCAGCAGATGCACGGCACTCGGCGGCCACCGGAGAAGCCCGGCCAGCAGGGCCCTCCGCTGTGGGGTCCGGGCGGTCCTTCCCCCAGGGTGTCGCCCGGCCCCGGCGGCCCGTCACCTCACAGCTCGTCGCCGCACAGCTCGTCGCCACAGCCTCAACCGCCGCCCCAGTCCTCGCCGGTGCAGGCCAAGGGCCCCGCCACCATCTACATCCAGAAGTACCCGACACAGCCGCCCAGCCAGCCGCCACAACCCCAGCGGCTGCCCCCGGAGCGCACGCCGCCCCCGCAGGCCCGGCAGGGTGTGATCCAGCGCCACAACACGACGCCACAGCCGCCGCCGCAGCACGCCCCCCACCAACCCTCCCACCAACCCTCCCACCAACCTCACCAACCCTCCCACCAGGCTCACCAACCCTCCCACCAGTCTCACCAGCCTCATCAGTCCCATCAATCCCACCAGTCCCATCAGCCCCACCAACCACATCAACCCTCTCATCAGTCTCACCAAGCCCATCAGACACTGCAGTCCCACCAACCAGCCCGCCCGCTGCACTTCAGCCACCCGCCCCAGGGCCACGAGGCCTTCGCGTCCCTGGTGGACGTGGCCGTCGCCCAGCCCAGCCTGCCCGTCCCTGTGACCGCTTCCGGCGCCGACAAGCGACAGGCCCACCAGCACCATGAGGGCCTTGGAAAGACCATGGCCGACTCTCTAAGAGACCGCGAGCGAGATCAGCGCGACCAGAGAACCCCTCCAGGACACCATCCTGGGCCCCCTCCAGCCCAGTCGGACAGGTGAGAGCCGTCCGCCACTAACTCGTGCCGGCCCGCTGTGGCACCCAGTGGCACCCTGTGCTGACGCCCTTGTCTTCTTTTAGCAGACAGCAGCAGATCCTGATCCAGCATCACCAGCAACATCAGCAGCAGCAGCAGCGGCACCCTCCGCCCATCCAGTACCACCAGCTGCAGCATCAGGTGCAGCACCAGGTGCAACATCAGGTGGGTGTCTCAGGCCCCTCAGCACGCGCTGACTAGGCGTGTCCACCCCTCGCTAACCCTCCCCTCTTACGCTTCTCTCGTCGCAGGTGAGGCTGGAGCAGCACCGACAGATCATGATGGCGGAGCGGGAGAAGGAGCGCGAGAGGGAGGCGACGCGCGTGTCGGGCCCCAGGCACACGCCCTCGCCGCAGCTGCAGCAGCTGCAACAGCAGCTGCCGCCCAGCACCCAGGCCACGCAGGTGTCCATCTCGCAGGCCCCGAGCCCGGCCCAGAGGTGAGTGCAGCGCAACGTGCAGGGGAGACGTCGTAGAGTTGCCACAGATCTAGAGGATTGAGGAAAATTTATATATTTTGTAAATGAACATGTAAAATTTTTGTCCATCTGATCTGATCCTATGAAGGACGTACTTTCATGCAAAACTTGGTTTTTCATTTCACCTATTTTGCCGGCTAACTACCTTTCACAAATAAGGGGAATCATGAAAAACTGTTCTAAAGAAATGGGGAGGTTTTCTCCTACTAACCGTGCCTTTGTTTTCAGGGAGTCGAGTGTCGTGAACAGGACCACGCCGCTGCCCCAGTCCGGCCTCAGTGGTGGTAGCAGCCAGAGCGCGGGGCCGGGAGCTCCTCCGGGGCCGCCGGCTGCCCCGGGACAGGCCGGCGCGGCCAGGCCGAGCTCCACGTCCGGGGACTCGACGCTCACGGCAGCCAGCGTTATTGACGCCATCATTACTCACTCCATCAACGAGGGCTCGCCTTCCAGCAACGCGAATCACCCCGGGCCGCACACCTCACGGCTGGGCGACCGCCTGTTCCAGGTAGGTCGCTGTTCCATGCCCCTCACTGAGTGCAGCATTGCCGCCGCCAACGCCGGTTCGTTTCGTTAACTTGCTTTTTTCGTCCAGGGATTCCATCGAGAGACCGGGCCGGCGACAAACGACATTGCCATCAAGGCGTCCCCGCTGAAGGGCGGGTCGGTGACGTCGGAGACTGGTTCAGACGCGGCGTCCTCGGCCACGAACAGCGGCCCTCCGCCCCCCGCGCAGGTCAAGAAGACCCTGAGCGAGAACATCGACTCCATCATCACCAAAGAGCTGAACGCCACCCCCAACTCGTTCCCGCGCACCCTGACCTACGGGTTCCCCATGGGCGCGCAGGGCGTGGTCGCCCCCGGCGCTCAGTCTGTCGAGGAGCTCTGCAACTGGAAGCTGAGGAGAGCGATGCAGCAGAAGGAGGAGATGGAGGCCGCGCGGGAGAGGGAGCGCGAGCGCGACCGGGAGAAGGGCCGCAGCACGCCCACCCAGCCGGGCCAGCCGGACGAGCGACAAATCATCCGGATCATGTCGAGTCCTCGCAAGGGCACCCCGGGGCCGCCGTTCGGCGCGGAGCCCGTGTCGCCACCCGACTCTGCCCACTCTGCCACCTCGTCGACAACGACGACCACCACCACCAACAGCGGGAGCTCTGCCGGCTCCGCCTCGCACTGGCTGCCCACCACGGGGGCGCCCACCCCGGCCTCGGTGGCCGCCGCCGTGTCGGGCAGCGTGCCGGCTAGCTTGGCTGCCTCCGACCCCGTGGCGTTCTTACAGCAGCGTCGCTTCTTCCCGGACCGGACCCAGATGTCGCCCCTCGACTACGTGAAGAACAGGATTGTGGAGGTGATGCGCACCTCGGAGGACGACAAGGTGACGGACAGCCGCAAAGAGGGCGGCGATGCTGCGTCAGCCGGGGCGGCGGCCAGCAAGGCCGAGGGCCGCAGCGCCAGTGGCAGCCCGGGCGAGATGGTGATCGACGAGGGACGGTCCTCTGACGAGAAGCCACCCTCCGCTGCACCGCCGACGCAGCCGCCCCACACCCAGGCGCACGCCGCCTCGCCGTACGTGCAGACCAGCTCCACGTACGCCTTCCCCTATTCGGCGCTTAGCGTACCCCAGGCGGCGCTCACCCCCCAGACGGGCGCGGCCGCCCCCAAGCCACCCGGGCTTCTGCCACCGTCCGTGCCGAAGGAGCCGGTGGCCGAGCCCAAGCCTCTGCTGTCAGCGCAGTACGAGGCGCTCTCTGACGAAGACTAGGGTTAGATTGTCTTCATCTTCTGCTCAATTTGTACCAGTATGATTGTGTACTGCTTATTCCAGACTTAATGTTTGTTTAGGACTTACCAGCTCTGAAGATAAATTAAATTTCATGTCCTTGATGAAGTTTTCTGTTATGTTAATTAATTTGTTTTCATCTGTTTGGACTCGGAGCAGAATTGGCCATGCTGCCACAATAATCAAATGGTCTCATTTTGTTTGGGGTTAATTTGAAAATGGTATTGAAGTTATTATGTTGGGTATAGGAAATGGTATACTGTTAGCACTGCAGGGAATGAAGTCGTATGCTGAGACTGTAATTGGAAATTGGCCGTTTTTATTGTGCCTCATTTCTAGTATCTTTGTAAACAACCAGCTGTAAATAGGGTTGCATTTCTCCTAAGAGACTTCTTGTCATACTGTGGTACAAGATGTAAATGTGCGCTGCACTATCTCTTACCATTCCACCCGACTTCTCAACTACTGTTTAATTACAGGGCTATGTAAGCTTTTATATGGGATATTTTTATTTCCTGTTAGTGTTTTAAATTGTCTTAGAAATTCTTGTTATGTAATTTTACGAGAATGATTTAATGATCCTTTTCATTACCCCTCTTGAGTGACGTGTAACTTTTTATAAATATTTTTTTTATGTTACGCTGATAAGAGTCTTCGTGGACTCACGTGATAAATGTTGACATACTATATAAGCCCTGGGTAAGCTTTTCATACCGTCAGGAAAGGTTCTTTATGTAATATATATGTGTAGTTTGATCCAATGCCTCAATCTCTGTACATAAATCCTACACCCCTGCTGCTAGCTAGGCATGTTCAATTTATTATATTAATTGTGTACATATTTGCTATGCATCTGATATTTTTTTTTCTACAAATCAATTTAAGAACAAAGAGGGATTAGCTGTGATAGCAGCCATGTACAGTGTGTACAAAATGAAGTGTCCTGGTCGTTTGTGTGTTCGTCCCTAGATCCCCTAAAAATTCTGCAATTGGAGGGTACTTGGCAATTGCATAATAGGAATTTGTTGCTTTTATTGTATAATAGAATAACAATTTATGTACATTTTTTTTCTATTTTTTTTTTCCAAAATCAGTGGTGATATTTTAGTGAAAGACGTTCATGTGGACAGGTTAGTGTAAGCTTCTGCTGCAACATTGTGATTTTTGTTTTTATCTGTCCATTATTTAATAGTCATGCTTGAGGGGGATTTAATGTGGCGGACAAATAAACGGGCAGAACGGTGAACCAGGTGTTAGGGTTGGTACTCCACTTTAGATCTATGGTGTACTCCTATCATTCAGTTCTAGTGTGCTAAGTGGGGAGTGGGTTTCATCTCTGCTGGACAGACTTGCACTGCTCATGAACTCCCACCCAGTCCCCCTGTATTAATGGCACAGTGTCACCCCAGACAAGACGCCTACATGGTTTTGCAAATTGGGATTTTATGAAGGGTATATAGCCTTAAATTTGGGGGATGTTTTTTGATTACTTCTTTTGTTTTTGTTTTGTATTGTCTGTGGTGGTGCTGTGCTCTCCCTTAACTTCCCTCTGGCTGGACTACAAACTTCTCCTCACCGTCCTCTTTTTCTCCTTCACAGAACATAACTAGAATATGAGAAATGTTGTAGTCTTTTTCAGTGTACACAGGCGGAAACAAAAAACGAAACAAAATGTTATTTTTGTTGAAAATATAAATCCATGTGTCCGTTACATCCTGTTTTCTTTTTACCATATCATTCCCAAGTGTCCCTTAACAGCTAATCACACATTAATAATTATTGTGAGATGGGTGTAGACCAAGGTAAAACTTTTGTTATTTTTTGTGAGGGAGGGATTACTGTTTGACTTTCTTGGTCTGTGTTTGGTATGTGTTGCTTAGAAGGAATCGGGGTTTATCTTTATTTCTTCGCTTTGTTGGTTTGAAAGACTCGATGAGGGGCCTCTTTAAGAATCACGGGTAGATATTTTGTTTGAAAGCCCCTTGTGGTGTTTGAGATAGGCATTTTGCATTTCTTTGTACGAGTGTAGTCAAAGAGCATCAAATGGCCCTATAATAT